CCACAGAAGCCTTACAGATGCCCAACAGGTACGTGAAAAGGTCTTCTATATCACTAATCAGGGAAAGACAAATCAAAGCCACAACAAGGTAAAACTTCCCACCAGTTAGAATAGCTCTAACCAAAAAGACTAGGAAAAACAAATGCTTCTGAGTACGGAGGGAAAAAGGAAGTCTCGTGCAGTGTCGGTAATGTATGGAATGTAAATTGGTGCACCTCTGTAGAAAATAGCATGGAGGTTCCTCAAAAATTAGAATTACCGTATGCTGCAACCATTCCACTTTGGGGGTATTTACCGGAGAAAACGGGTACAATGAATGGGCACTAACATGTTCATTGCAGCATTATTCACGACAGCCAAGATATGGAAACATCCTAAGTATCCATTTCAGCCCGCAGGATATGGCCTGGTTTTACAAGATTTGAAGTCAGACCGACCTGGGTACAAATCCCAGCTTTACTATTTACCAGTTGTGTGCCAGTAGGGAAGTTCCATGAGCCTTTGTTGTCTCATCTGTAAAAAAGGGAATGAAAGTAGTATCCACCTCAGTGGGTGACTATGAGCATTAAATGAGATGGTGGAAGTAAAATGCTTAGCCCAAGAGAGGTAATGAGCACTCAATAAATTTGGACTGTATCATTTCCTCCCACATGGCACAGGAAGTCAGCCCATTCACCCAGGCCTGGCCTTCCTCTCCACAGTCTGGTTAATTTCCTTCAACCAGGTCCCTGGGAAGGGGGTATAAGGAGGGCTCTGTTGGCCGCTAAGCACCCTCACACACTCCCTTCTCCCGTGAGGTTTTAGCCTTGGCAGAAAAGGTGTACATGGCCTGCTTTTGCACTCCTCGCTTCTTGTCTTTGCATTTTGTCCAATCAGATAGGACTTGCCAGTGACGTCAGGAAATGCAGCCACTATAAATGGGCTGGCACCCCTCAAGCCGCCGCCAGGGCCCTTCCTTCTGAGCTGTCGGGAAGGTGAGCCCAACATGGCTGAACCTGGCTGTGAGACCTCTTCTGAGAAAAGCCTCGGCACCAAGGAGCCCACGGCAGCAGACCCGAAGAGCCCGAAGCAGAAGTAGCCAAAGTGCGGAGGCCGCCGCCATGGCCGCCGTTGCCGCCACCGCTGCCCCGACAGTTTCGCCACCTACTTCCCCAGGGTTCTGAAGCATGTTCACGAGGGCCTGAGCCTCTCACAGGAGGCTGTGAGCATCATGGATTCGTTCGTCAAGGACATGTTCGAGCACATCGCCAAGGAGGCCTCTCGCCTGGCCCGCTCCACCAAGTGCTCCACCATCACCTCCAGGGATATCCAGACAGCCGTGCGTCTGCTGCTGCCCGGGGAGATTGGCAAGCACGCTGTGTCCGAGGCCACCAAGGCCGTCATCATGTTCAACAGACGCAAATGAGCTGCCTCTGGACCGCCTGACCACCTCGCAAAACAAAGGCTCTTTTCAGAGCCTCCTCACTTGGCACAAGCCGGTAAATTTCCAGAGTGTCACCTACTCTAGCGTTTGGACCTGTGCCATTCTGCCCATCCTTAAAACACCTTTACCGTGAGCAAGTCCCTTTAATATATGTGTTTGGGCAGTCTGTTATGATTTTCCTTGATCCTGTCGCATTTCATCACTTTCCTAAGTGGCCCATTCCTTCAGGTCAGCGTCTTCGGGACTCCTTACGGTCACAGCTGGGTCCACAATAATTTTACTTGCCTTTTGTATTCTCCTTCTCCCACTTGTATCGAGTAGTATCCTATAGACAATTTCCGAGTGTATTGATACAGCAACAAATGAATCACTGTAGCAGATACAAAACTCACCCTTACCCCATTCACATTCCCTCAACGTATCCCCTCATCCTAATTCAGTTAATTCAATTAATAAAAGAGGACCCAAACACCGTGCAGAAAACTCAACCTATCTAGAATCATGCCCTACTCAAGCTCCCGACCTTGTGAAAGGCCTACTTTAGGTGATTAACGTAACATAAAAAAATAAAAATAAATAAATAAATAAGTAAATCAACAAATAAATAAAGTAAAAAAAGAAAGCCCTACTTTACTTCATTCAGGTTTATCTGATTCTGTGCCTTGGTAGCCTACCATCTCTCCCTTTTGACACAAAAGGCTTCCTGCCCTGCAATTATGCCTGGATGACGGGTTAGTCCAATGAGAGCAGCTGTGCTCCCAGCCAATAAGCAACTGGCAGCGCAGGATCCATGGCCATTGGCCCAAATGGTGGCGGGGTGACCAGGGCTGAACCAATAATAGCCTTCCTGTGCCTGGAGATTGAGGGGCATGGTGGTGAGATTGTCGACGTGTCTGCCTATGGGTTTCTGTTGAAGCGCTTCCTTTTAACCCAGGTGGTTGAAGTGTAAACATGCAGATGTCACAGTGAGACCTGTCCCTATCCTTTTGAATCAAAATAAGAGGAGACTGTTTGGCAATTAAGTGAACTAAGGTGACTCCTCCTCTACCTCAAGTGATTTCATGGGTAGGAGTTAGGGTAATGGTAATGCACTTTAATATTCATTGTGTTTTTCTTCTTGGTGCATGGGCTTTTTTCTTTTCTTTGTTTCCTTTTCCTATAGGTATATGCTGAATTTCAAAATAGTTGGTGATTATCCAAGTGCTCTCCATTCAATTGATTTCTAGCTTCCTATTTATCTGTGAAGGGAGAACACGCGGCGGTAGGGGTGGGAAATTCAATCCTTTAAAATTTGTTACAAGTTGCACTGAAATCCACTATTTCATGATGTTTGCCATGTGTTCCATGTGAACTCTTAAAATAAATTCTAAATAACCTTTAATTTGAATGTAGAAACCTGTGAAAGGGGTCACTCTGAGCCCAACAGTGAGACAAAAGGTAGGTAAACTACAGAAATCCAACCTTTTCTTGAGCCCATTAGACCGGAGATAAAGCCAAAAGGATATGAAAAGGGTTGGGGGGCTTGCTGCAGAAATACCCATGAAAATCTACCACAAAATGAAGTGCAAGTAAATCCTTCTGCATGTTGACTAGAGATATCATATTTATTTGTAAGACAATTTTGGAAGACTAAGGCCCTTTGTAGAACCATTTGTCTTCTCAGAAAATGAACTGAGGACTATTTAGATAAAACAAATCTTTGTTTCACCCAGTCACTTTGTTTCTATCATGCGAATTGCTGCTAGTTCAATATTCCCATGTTTTTTAGTATGATATTAAGATGTTTTTCAGTTATTCATGCATACTGGTGTCATCTCTGTTATAGAAAAAGTTATTTTGAGGACATAAATAAAATGTGTGTGGGTAATGGCATGTAGGCACCAGGAACATGTACATGTGGTTGTTTGTTTTGCATTTGTAATTTCAGAAATCAAGTGGGAGCACCAGTAAAAACAATTTTAAAATGCACCGTCATTGGGCTGTGGATGAAGACTGGGAGTGGAAGTGTGAGAGACACAGAGGAAATCTGGGAAGGAGAAAGGAAAATGAGGTTTAATGTTGAAGATCAAGCTGGGAACTAAATACATCTGATTATTCCCTTCAGTGGGTGATTGAGGAAAGAGGTACCCGGTGAGAAATTTAATGTTGTGTTTACTCAGAAGATGATAGAATGGATCCTGCTTCACTAACAAATTAGAAGCAAGAACAGATTGAAAATAGTATTAATAGGACAAAGATACCCACGTCAAACTTTTTCAACACTATTCACATCATGCAATTCACTGAAGAGCATCAGGAAGGACCCAAACTCAGTACAGAAATATCTAAATCCAAAAGTTCAAAACCAAACTTATTCAGGCTCCCTAGAATCTTAAGTTACACTTTTATCCCATTCAGATTTATCTGACTCTGTTCTTTTCATAATACACTCTTTTACTTTTTTAAAAATTCAAAATTTATGACTTGCCACACCTCATCATAGACATGATAGGAATGTCAGTTCAGAACACCTCAAGCCCCACACCCTTCTGAGTCAGCCAATGAGGCCCTTACAGCCTCTGAGATACAGTTACTCACCAATATGTGAGGAGGTATCCTGAGGTAAGCCATTAGGAGACCTCCTTGTTTGCCCCATTTTGGAAATTGAGGGGAAATCAACTGTGATTCTTATTTCCTGTCTTTCCTTTGTTTGATTAATTAGTGGAAGTTTTTAAATTATGGTGAATTCAGATATTTTTATATTAGTTTTCTAGGGCTATTATACCAAATACCAGGGACTGGTGAACTTAAGTGACATATTAGTTATTTCCTCACAATTCTGGATGCTAGAGTCGAAAATCATGTGTCAGACACTTAGATGAGTCTGAGGTCTACGTGCAAAACATCGTTTATGGGCCACTTTCCTTATTGTCTTCTTCCACTTGGAATGCTATACTATTTCTGTTAGGCTACCCAGGGAGAGTCCAAAGAGATAAACTGGAGAGCAATGAATGTGTCCCACTATTCTCTACATGTGGCTCTTCCCAACTGAGATTATCTCTACTTATGGTATGAGGAAGTACAAGTATACAACCAATTCATTCCTACTATGCCTTCATACGCAGAAGCAGCAATTATAGTACATTAAATTTGTCCAAAGGGTCCCTTCCACAATCTTACACTAGCTTCCCTGCCTCACTATGAGCCCTGCCCAAATCCTATTAGCTGAATCCATGCACCTTTTTTCCCCTAGAGGTCCAGGTAAGATAGTAACTTGAGCACCCATACACAGTAGGACCATTAAAGTTTGAGTTCCACCCCTTCACCAAATTCTTCAGCATACTCATATGAGTGTGATGGCTTTCCCCTCTTGGCATCAGCCCCACTTCTGTTTTCAACTTTGAAACACCTAAATTTGGGGTGCATGGGGAGGTATTACAGACGCAGAGGGAGAGAGTTCTATGCCATTAAACAAGACTTTACATTACTTTTAGTTTTGACTGGCATGATAGCAGCTCATAACTCAACCAAGCGAATGTTTTCAGCATGCTTAATGCTTATATCGAGTGACAAGGTCATCATGGTGGCACCTTTTACTTTAGCCTTGAGAACCCAAGGACTCAACAACCACAGCCATAGCCACCTTGCTTTCTGGCTGAGGTTGTGAGGTTTTCATGCTCTGGCTGACTCAGGCTTCAATTATGTAGTAATAAATGGTTTTAAGGAGTCCACTTTAATCTGGGGTATCTAATATGCCATTGTCACAATATCTCCTAAATTGGGGTGCAGTTTCAACATTAGAGCTGGGAGAGTTTTTCTAGGATAACAATATTAATCACAAGAGTTTATTTAGTTTCTTTTGTCAGTTTCTCATTGTCCAATGGGTCACCCCGCTGAAACCCAATGTAAGGCAGTAAGAACCAGAATAAAGTCAATGCCTCACCCATGGTTTTTCATGGGAACTTGTCTGTCTCAAGGAAATCTCCCTGAGAGTACCTAAGATCTCTTATAAGCAGTAAAATCTAAGGTTGAATTAATAGATTGGAAGAAGGGGTTGATCTAAAAGACAGACTAGTGATTGTTATTTTTCTTTAATAAGCATTACAATCCCCACAAATCTTATCTCCTTTACTAACAATCAAAGTTTTAAAAATTCACCCATCTACAGCCAATTAAGCCGACTGTGCTTTTTGTCCACAGGGGCCCAGTGTGCCATGGCTGCAAACGGTAGCCTCCTTGGTAGTGTATGCAGCCTGTTGATTGTATGGGTTGCGTAAGGGACCTTGGAGACAGCCCTTTCCAATGGATATTGAGGTTTGACCTCATGCTATCTCCAATCTAAGCTGCAGACAGGTATGCGGGGTGCCTTTGGAAAGCCCCAGGGCACAGTAGCCAGGGTCCACATTGGCCAAGTCATCATGTCCATCTGTACCAAGCTGCAGAACAAGGAGCATGTGATTGAGGCCCTACGCAGGGCCAAGTTCAGGTTCCCTGGCCGCCAGATGATCCACATCTCCAAGAAGTGGGGCTTTACTAAGTTTAATGCGGATGAATTTGAAGACATGGTAGCTGAAAAGCGGCTTATCCCAGATGGCTGTGGGGTCAAATACATCCCTAATCATGGGCCCTTGGACAAATGGAGGGCTCTGCACTCATGAGAACCTCGGCACTGCCCCCTCCCTATTCATGCCCACCAATAAAACCTACTTCCTGTCAAAATAAATAAATAAATAAATAAATAAATAAATAAAAATTCACCCAGTTTTGAAAACAGTATGGAGGTTCTTCAAAAAGTTGAAAATAGAGCTACCATACGATCCAGCAATTGCACTACTGGGTATTTACCCCAAAGATAGAAATGTAGGGATCCGAAGGGGTACGTGCACCCTGCTGTTTATAGCAGCAATGTCCACAATAGCCAAACTGTGGAAAGAGCCAAGATGTCCATCGACAGATGAATGGATAAAGAAGATGTGGTATATATATACAATGGAATATTATGC